TCAATGATTTATGTTTTATAACGCAACAAAATTTAAATTATAAAATAACATTCTTAAAATATAATCATTATTTAAAAATATTATATAATTTAAATTATATTCAATTATACAATTATAACAGTTGTCTCGAAAATGTCCTTTTTTGGTTGCGTAACAAATAAGATTGCGAAGGCATGCCACTCACTTTACTTATAGTGAGAAAGAGGGATTCTCAATGACCCTTATTACTTCTAAGTGTGGAACTCGACTGCAAGACGATGGAAAAGCACTGGTTAAATAAATTATTATATGCGTTATGGTCAGACGATTGTTGCAAAAACGAGAGTGCGTTCTTGCATAAAAGTCTATAAATAATTACTTTGGAAAAACATTAGGGGCTTCCCACAACTAGGGCCAAAATGTTAGTTTGCTTATTGAAATAAAAGAGAAAAATAAAGGAAAAGAGAAAAAAGAGGGTGCATGACGAGAAAACTAAATTGCAAAGAAAAAGTGTGATGCCGCCGCGAAAGTATGAAAACGTAGAAAACGTAGAAAATGAAATAGAAGCTGAAATATAAAACTAAACTTAAAAGAAACTAGAAAGATGAATTTGGGGTAAAATGAAGTAAATTGAATTGCAGAAACCTAAATACATCAAGTGAAGATATTTACAACGAAATAACAAAAATTAGAATTAAAACTAATAGCAACGTAGAGTTAAAGACTTAATTAGGAAAGCTGTTTAAGAAAATTAGATCTAAATTAAGACATTACTTGTAAAACTAAAATGTAGATAGCATTTGGGTTAGTTGTGTGAGAGGTTGGTCTTTTCGCTTGATTTCTTCTCTGCATATTTATAGCAATAAATATCCCTTGTCAGCATATTTGGAGATCTGCGGCAGCATCTTTAAAAACCAACAGTAACTTGATATATGAAACAAACCAATTAACTATTGATGCTGTCGATTATTCTCTTAGAAGTTCGCAACAAGCGAACGGCTTTACTGCCGTTGTAGAAATAACTATTGAACTTTATCTAAAGAGATTTATACTGATGAAATATATGCCAACATGGATAACACGTGATATCATTCTATTTTTCGTAAAAATGAGTGTAAATAATAACTACTAAAATAATAAACTCTATAATATTATAAATTATCCTATATTTATTTAATCATGTTATAAAATATAAAACCCTTATTATTTTGAAACAAATTTTAA